CTATGAATATCACTGAGATGTTCCCCGCTATGTACTGCTGCAAGTGTCCTTCCTAACATGTCTGCCTTCTCTTTATCTGTCACTGCCAGCCTCTCCCCATCAACCAAAGCTGGAATTTTAATGGATTTCCTTTTCCCACTCATCCGCTTAAACATGGACCAGACATCACCTAATTTTACTCCTCTGCCAATGGTAGAACAAAATTCTCTCCATGTTCTTTTTTTTGTGTATTTGATTGTCCTTCGAGCAGCTGCCCTTTTCCTTTGAAACTCTATAACATTATTTTGTGTCATGTTTTTCTTTAATTCTCTAAATGCATTATTTCGCTCTTTAATAGCCCTGCTGCATTCCTCATTCCACCATGGCACCACTTCCTACCCTTGGTTGTTGTTTTGGGTATACTGTTCTCTGCTGCATTTAGAATATGTTGCGTTATTTGGCTTGTAATGACCTCTATGCTTCCCTCTGATGTTAGCAGGTGTACCGACTCCTCACACCATATCCTAAATTTCCCCCAATCAGCTTTAGCAAAGCACCACCTGGTTATTGCACCTCCTTCCTGTATATATACATTAGTATTCATTTTAGTAAGCACTGGATAATGGTCACTTCCTACTGTGGATTTATTCAAAACAAACCATTCGCATGTATGAACCAAACAGTTTGACACTAATGTCAGATCCAGGCATGATACTTTCCCCCTGTGTACATCTACTCTTGTGCCATGTCCATCATTAAGGCATACTAGTGTTCTTTCCTCCAGCATTTCTTCCACTATATTTCCGTTACTGTCTGTATGGTTGCTGCCCCATAGACTGTTGTGTGCATTGAAATCACCACACCAAACTTCCTTCCTATGTTTATTGCCTGCTATTTCTTTAAATATATCAGTGGTTAGATTTTTACATGGGTTGTATAAATTGATTATCCTAATGTTATCTTGTTTCCTAGGGTTGCAGATTTCCACTATAATACACTCTATATCATCAGGAGATTGCACCTCCCTATATGCCACACCATCTTTGAGAAACGTGGCACACCCTCCACCATTTTGATTATTATCTCTATCATGCCTTATACAGCTAAATCCTGGAATGACAAAGTCTAATTGAGGTCGTAACCAGGTTTCTTGCACACATATTACCTCAGGGACTACCTCTAGATCATATATATATTTCTTGAATTCTTGACCATTAGCTATGAGGCTTCTTGCGTTCCACTGTAGTATGTGCAGCACCATGATTAAGGATCTAACCCTCATCCTGATTTTCATTTTCCCCAGCTCCATTTATAGTTAGCATTGCATGTATCTGATCTGCTTTAATATCTTTCATGTCAAGGAATTTTCCAGCTGCCTCCACAATGGCTTTGATTCTATCACTTTTCTTTTTTAACTGCAATGCAACATTTACAGTATGGCATATAAATACCACAAAATTCACCTTTTTCACTCCTAAAACATCATCATCCTCTTTACTCTTGGTGGCGCTGTGGGGTTGGATTTGAAGATTACTTTTTGGTGTGTTCCTGACATTTTGTATTGTAATGCTCTGCTCCATTCCACTAGGGTTCTTATTGATTGTTACTGTTCCCCTTACTTTCTTTATTGCTTCTGCGTATGAAACTTTGTTTGTAATCTTAACTCTCTGCACCTCTCTGGCCTCTCTCTGCACTTCACAACCTCCAAACGCAGCACTGTGATCTCCTCCGCAGTTACAACATTTAACCTTTACATCCTTTTCACATTTTCCATACTCATGTTTTCCTCCGCATCTCGCACACCTTAGCTGTCCTTTACACTGCTGCGCTGTGTGCCCCATTCGTTGACATGCGTAGCACCTGAGAGGTTTGGGGATGTACTCCCTAACCATGAAGTTCAAATATCCCATTTGTACTGCCTTAGGTAAGATTCTCTCAAACTGAATGAGAACTGATAATGTTTCTTTGAGTGTACCATCCCGTTTGCTTTTAAGCCTTGTGACTTCCACTATTTTGCCTCCTTTTAATTCACTTTTCACATCTTCCATTGACATGTCCAATGGTACTCCTGAGATTACTCCTCTCAGTTTCGCCATTGCTCCTGGAACATGCGCCTTCATTTTCTCCCCATTCAGTGAGTTCATTCCCAGAATCTTTTCCTGCTGCTGTTTGTTATTGGCATGTATCAATACCCGCTTATTGTTCATGAATTTAGCAAATTTAATTTTTCCAATCTCTTTTTCAATTGCTTTGGTAAGTTTAATCGGGTGGTAATGCCCACCATCCTGATTGAATTCTATTACCACTTTCCACTCGTGTTCTATTTCTTTATTCAACATTGCTTGACTGTCATTTTGACTGACTCTTGATTTTTTGTTTTGCTTAGCCTCGTCTGCTTCACCCGACCAATCCGACCAACTTCGAGCTCTTACTGAACTATCTCTGTCTCTCAAAGATCTTTTCTTCTTCGCAGCTTTGGCTATCATCCATTCCATATTGTTTCTTTGGCTACCATCTGAGCTGGTTGACATGATGAAACACTCAATGTACAGTTTATGCAAATCCGCCAAAATAACAGTCCAATGCTACCGTTTCTGTATGTATCCGAATTTCCGATTCTCTGTGATATTTCTGCCACGCGTCTCCAACTTCACTTCCTTCTTCCGGCCGATCCCGGAACAGTCCAACTGAACTCCCAAAACAAGCTCTGTCGGGCCCCGACTGACTCGGAACATGGCATCATGTGATGCTGGTGACATGGTATTGGGACAAACCATTTTTGAGTTAAAGGGGGGAGTTCTGTTAGTAACATAGTTGACAGAACTTTTGCGGACATTCATATATTAAGATATTTAAATTATTTAAAGGAGGAAATCAATTAAAAAGATATTATTATTCTTTAGTATTTAGACTTTTGAAATAAATGAATACTTTTTTTTATTTACTTTAATGGTTTTTATTCATTATTTTGAAACCAAGACACCCTCAACTGAAAAACGGACATAGCAAAAACTGACAATTTAAGAACATCATGACACATTTCAAGCTAAATAAAGCATAGGATGCACATAATGTTTGTGTGATATTATAACATGCTTTCCAATAATAGGCAAAATATGATATTTTTGAAGAAAATAGTTAGAATAATTATAATTATCATCAATGGACATCAATGGACATGGAATGTACCCTAAATTGTAGAATCACTCGTATACACTGTAGCCAGCCAGAAACTGTTGAGCATGTTTTACTGCTTTGCAGGAAATATAGTACTCAGAGAAATGTGCTTTTCCAGACACTGAAGAAAGCAAAATTCCATGACTTGTCGCTATCAGGGCTGTTAGGGAAAACATCAGGCAATATGTATTGTATTGCAGGTCTCCCTTGAAAAAGAGATCGTTGATCTCAATGGGATTTTTTAACCTGGTTAAATAAAGGCTACAAACAAACAATTGTGAGATTATTACGTTTCTAAGAGGAATTGATACATTTAAAATAATCTAGAGTTTTGGTTCTTTATTTTATTTTATTGTTTTTTGCATAGTCTGTCTCTTGTCCACACTCCAGTCCAGTTGGTGGCGGTAATGCACCTACAAGTTGGTTTGCCAACCGCCAATAAACGTCAAAGAAGAAGAAGGGCTCACTATTTATATCTCAAACAGGAAACCATCAAACGGAAAAGGAGGTACGTACAAACATGACTACTAAATCATACTTGAAATCGTTCGATATGTGTGGTAGAGAGTCTTGTGAGCTAACGTTATACAGCTTACTTGTTACTTGTTTACCAGCTCGTTGCTAGTCAAAGGAATATGTAATAGAAGCTTCGGCTAACGGTTGCTAACGCTAAAACTATTGTGAGCATAGAGGCTTCCTAATGACTTCACGAGGCTCTCCGATATAGCTATGGATGTACAAAAGAAAAGGAAAGAGCGCTTGGATTACCAGGCGACTCGGGCGAGCGAGAAGGAAAGGCTGCTACGAGCCATTAAACCCGTAAAATAAGACCGGTTATCTTAACACATGTGCGTCGATTGGTTCGGTGGACCCGTATTTGCAGCACTGATTTAGATACATGGTCTTCACTTTCATACTTTGATATAGTTCCCTACCTGGTATTTTCGCCCGTGCCATTGTACAACATGGAGGAGCTGACGAGGCACTTAAGGCTTAAGGCACATAACCATTTTCCGCCAAAGGAAGCTGGTATTGTGACAAATGTCCTCAGTGTGCCCCCTCTCAAAAGAAACAGAAGTATTAATGAATCTGAATGACAATTTACTATAAAACGTAATAACAAAGTTCAGATTGCAGCTCTATTGTATTTAATATTAATGCAAGTATATAATAATAATGATGATGATTTAACATGTTTTCTTTTCCATCAACTATATAAAGAACATGTAAGTGTAACCAGCTTATTGCTGTATTAAAAATAAGACCTAAAAATAGAGGGTATCCAATTGAGCAAATCAGTTTATGATTTATTTTGGATGACTGAAGAATATATATTTTACATAAACAAGGGTAACACAATGTATAATGCATTGGTTCATGGCCTCGCCTCTCTGTGGCCTTATAGTTATGTTCAAATGTGTAATCTCTAATTGTTGTGTTGTGTTTGTAGTCGTCTTGTATGCAGCTTGTATGGGACTTGATTTCGTTTTTGCTGTGTTGCTCTTTGTGCTACATTTGAAGTCCCCCTTGAAAACGAGATGTTTTATCTCAAGGGGTTTATCCTAAATACATATATTTCAAACTTAAATTACACACTGATTTGTGTTAAATTAAATCTATTGTAGTCGGTAGTCAGACTGAGATCCAAATTTACTTTTTGAAGTGTCATCATGTATGTGTGACACCAGAGTTGACTTCAAATATAAATATTAATCAGATTATTGCAACTGCTGTATGGAAAGATGTTATCATAAAGTAGGTAGATGCAGCCATTGGACACATGCAGAAATGTGGAATTTGCATTATAAATTGCTCTGAATGTGTACTATTTTCTGTGTTAGTGTTGCATTTACAGAATTCCTTGCAACATTGAAAAGAAGTTAAGGACTTGCCTACTGCACATACTGAAAGGTGAGACAAATAACCAATATTGAAAGAAATCACACTATGGACTATTGAAGCTGGCCGTGTTGTGTGTTGTGTACAAGGCCATAACCGTGGAAAAACTGGCTTGAGTTTTAAAACATGATACATGTATTTATTATCCTTGCAAGAATGGAAGTAGTTATCTCATACAGCATATGGTACAACTAATTCCCCGAACAGTGTCCTTCACATGCTTATATACAAGAGAGGGTGTATCACAGTCACAAGATGGAGGAATACCGGTTCAAAGCAGTAAACAATGTTTAGTTCAAATTAGTTGAGGCCCACGTCAGAAATAATCATGCATGTCATATGTCTATCTCCCTAGAGGCTGAATCATCATGTTAATCACATAGCTATCAGGTGCCTAAAACAGTGTGTCCTGACACTCTTCTAGGTAATCATACATCCTGTCATATACACTCACTGTTACAGTTTGGCCTTTGTTATCATGTGCACCTCTGTCCTTTTAATTAGTACATTCAGTATTTTCTCCAACACAGTTTGTAAAAGTTTGTTATATTTGGCTATAATAATATAATGAATACCTTCTCTAAAACCATGGATTTCCATTTTAATGTTCTTTACCAGGTTATTTTGTTACAGATATCTAAAAAGTAGTTTTCTTGCAGTATAGAGATGTAGCTGAAACTAATCCAATAATGTCTGACAACAGAAACAGATCTAACAGTGGCTGTTGTTAATGCCAGGTGATGGACTGATGACAGTGTCCTTTCCCTCTCTCACTTTCTACATTCTTTAGTATAGTTACATAATGGCAGATGCCCGAGATCGAACTCCTCGCACACGCTCAAGAGCAGATCAGAAGACGTTTAAACCTTCCCCCAAACGAAAGAGTCCTAGACTGTCTTCTCCAAAGCAAACGAAGCTAGCGGGAGATGCTCGAGTGAACATTGGATCAGCGTTTGAAACGTGGAGTGAAGTGAAGGCCTCAAAAGGATTAAAAAGTGATGCAGAGTTGGCTCTTACTCTACTCGATAAGTGAGTTAACCCTCAAGAGCATTCTGTTTGCAGAACAGCTTCATAAATATTTGTATCTTGCCAGTTTTTTAATCTACGTACATACAGCGGTTTGGTTTGTCAAGTATCAGCATGCCCTTCTGCTTAATGTTGCCATAGTAAAACACTAACACTGTTTAGCTTTTACTGTCTAAGGCGCCGTTTACACGAGGAGAAAACAGCTTGTATCTGCATAGTTTCGCGTGCGTATAGCCCTATTATTTAGACGAGGCCGATAGAAACTGACCACACAAACGATAACGGGTCCCAAGGTGGATAGATTTGCAAACGAAACGCTCTGGGGGGTCAACCGAGTCCGTTTAATCGCCTCTATACGAATATTGCCTGAAAAAATAACGACAGCCCCGCCTCTTCGCACCTCTTCCCACCTCTCCCCCGCCTCATTGCTGATTTGTTTCTACAACAACAAGAATGGCGGATCACAGGGTTGCTGTTGTGCTCCAGACGCTACTGACCATGATTAATATGTTAGTGCTACAACTACGGTGCTTCTACGACAACCACAAGCAACTAGTGGACATGAAGAACCACATACACGACATGTGGCTAAATCCACCGCGGAGAACAACCAGAAGGGCGACCAGGAGAAAGTTTTGGGTAAGACCGGGCAGAACTAGCAGTTGGTGGGACAATTTTGTCAATGGCGTTGTCGTGGACGATGAATGGAGGGAGAACTTCCGCATGTCCAAAGCCTCTGTCGTTGCCCTGACTGAAGAACTGCGCCCATATATCGAGAAGAAAACTACAAACATGAGGGCGCCAATTGATCCACTGAAAAGGGTTGCTGCGGTTCTTTATTACCTGAGCGACGAGGGAAGGCTACGGAAGACTGCTAACGCCTTCGGAGTTTCCCGCCGTCTTTGTCCCTCATTATTAGGGAGACATGCAGAGCGATCACCATCCACCTGGGTCCAAAATACATCAAGCTGCCTTTTACTGAGCCCGAGACCGCGGATCTGGTTGAGGGGTTCCATTGTACACATGGCATGCCACAATGTTTAGGAGCAGTGGACGGAACCCACATCGAAATCAAGCAGCCATCTAACGACTCCACTAGTTACATCAACAGGAAAGGAAAATATTCCTTTAATGTACAGGCTGTCTGTGATTACAGGTACCGATTCATGGATGTCGTGGTAAAGTGGCCTGGGAGTGTGCATGATGCACGGGTCTTTGCTAATTCCAAGCTAAACATGTACTTAAAAACTGGAAAGATCCCTGCTCTGAAAAAACAGATTGTGGACGAAGAGGAGGCCATACCATGTATGTACATAGACTGTACATTTTTTTTAAAGGTGTTTATTAAGATGTGATAAACATTCTTTGTTACATTCCCTGTCCTCACTGTGCAGCTCCTTCAGCGACAGGCTGCTGTACAATATTCATATACCTGGCTAGGTATATGTACCTGGCTGCTAAATCTGAGGACTGTTACAGGATTTTTTGTATTATATCCTAACTGTTTTTAGTACTTTTTAATGCATGTCACATGTGTGAAACTAAGCAAATAACTATGTGATTCTCCAATGTCAAAAGTGTGAAACTAAAAATAAAATTGGCTGCAACCACTTCCAGACTTTCTTTGAACTTAATGTGCAACAAATGTCATCATCCTCATGAATGAAGTTATATGGCCCATTCTACCGAGTCAGGTTGTCCATATATATTTTGTACCGTATTTATTTACACATATAGTAAAAGAACCGTACATTTTGATATGGTATTTTCAGACTGTATTGGCCACTAGCGAAACATAGTACATACACTGTAGTAAAAAACTATTATATTAACCTGTTAAGATTGTGTTACCTTCCCTTCTCTAAATAGTATTTTAACCAATATTTGAGGATTTTCAGTAAAAGTAATATAAGCAAATGTTGAATCAAAGTTGAATTTATACAATTCATAAAAATCATAATGCAAACTTTCTTTGTGAAATGCATAATACTGATCATATTGATTCCAGAGATGAAATAGAAGGGAATGAGGCTATAATGGGTATTTTTTTTGGTATTTTGAGCAAAACACTTCATAGACATGTTTTTTATATATCTGAGACTATAATATATGCCTAACAATAGTTTGGGCTTTACCATTAAGGCCCAATGTGACATATCACAGTTCAGATATTTGACACTAGGGGGGGGGGGGTTACTTTTCATAAATGTGGTGTATTTAGTCAAAATTAGGTTTACAAGGTGAAAAGGACTTACAGCCTCCCACACACTGATATAGATATCTCACTGACTGTAATGAGGGAGAAGGAAAGAGAGTGAGGAGAGTGCTTGCGGAGTACATTGACCCTTACATGAAAGACAAGACTGTTCTTTTATTTTAATAAGGTTTTTTATTAATAACATTATTTATAAATGTGTACACAGTAAAAGGGAAAAAAATACCTTTGCTAGCTAAAAAAAAAAGGCTTAAAAAAAAAGTGATTCTCCATTTGTACAAAGTCTGGTGGAGTTAAAAATAAAAATGTTTACTGACTTCCTTTGACCAAAAAGTGCTGTGAAAAAAAAAGAAGCTCACTGCTTTACTGCTCCTCCTCATCCAGTGACCGCCTGAATGAATATGGAGGAGATTGTTGCTGTGGGGTGTGTGGTACAGAGGGGTTTAATCTTGGTGTGGCCGGTGTGTGGCCTTCGGGGTGGGTATGAGGGCACCTGGAAGTGTCCATATCCACTGTTGTTAGTATGAACTTGCATGAACTGGCTCATCAGGGAAAGGCCATTCTGTACAGTCACATTAATGTTGTCCATGGTGTTGTTCATACGATCCATGCTGGCTACGCTGCGGCTGGTTGCTTCCTCCATTAAGTCCAACATCCGGCTTTTTAATCGCAGCTCTTCCTGCACCGCATGTTCAGCTGGAAGCTTCCTCTTCATGCGGTCACTTCTGTGGCCGTCCAGCCGTGCCTATAATAAACCAGAGAAAGTTTGAATTAATACACAATAGGACCATAGCCACCAGATAACAGAACACAAAAGGCATGTGTGTGAAATAGCTCTCAATACATTTTACAAATAAAACAGCTCTAAATACTTCTAATTTTACCAAGCTTAAACCGGTTCAGTTTTTCAGTGGAAGGTACTGCATCATAGTATATAGCAAGCCCTTTAAGATTGAAATCATGAACATACCTGGAGCAGATCCCTGCGATGACTCACAACCGCAGCAGTTGGCAGGAGTTCCGTTGGATCTACTCGACTCTGGCAAATCCGTGGAATGCTCCAAACTCGGGGATGAACTTGGGTCCGGGCGACGACTCTTCCATGTCGAACAAGTCCCCTTGTACCTGTTTTAGTTTCGCTGTAAGCTGGCCCTGTGAAATTGTGTTCTTCTCGTGAGGGAAATCTTTTCAGTCGGGGTCCTCGGATATTGCGCCTGAAATAAGTCGGCTATCTCCGTATATTTAGGCTTGCAGGACTCCCAGTCTACATTATCCTGTATTTTTGTCGTCTTATACTCAAGTGTTACACTTAAAAGAAGTTCCACCTCGTCGTCGGACCACGAAAATAGCTCCTTTCTTGCGCGAATAACAGCCATCTTCGTTTGTTTGTTTTGTTTGTGCCTCACACACATCCGGGGGGGATCTTATACTCGCTGCTTTTGGTGTATTTTGTGGCGGAAGTTACAGCGCCACTTACAGTCCCGCCATATGTACTACAGCTTTCGAGCGGTCTCGTGTGGAAGTACAGCGCCACTTACAGTCCCAGCATATGTACTACAGAGTTTCCAGCGGCCTCGTTTGAACAGACACGTTAAATGAAACAAATGCATGTGAACGGAAGACTTTTTTGAATACGAATACTGTGCATAAAACGCAAACGGCCTCGTGTGAGCGGGGCCTAAGTGTGAAGGTAACTGTTATGACAGATTCCTTAAGCAGCGTATTTCTCGCTTATTCATTAAGGTAACACGGGTCAGAGAGACCCCATCGTCCCTTCCGCAATTACCTAGGCCAGGGGTCGGCAACCTTTTTAATATGAAGTGCCATTCTAAAAAAAAAAAAAAAAAAAAAATGATATCAGCGTGCCGACGATCGTGAATTATCAACGGGGGGGGGGTTGAAGAGCTCGACGAAAACACTCGTGAAAAGTGATGTTTAAAACTCAGTTAATGGGGCTCATTCACTGGCGCTTCCACAAACAACAACCAACATAATTGTTACATTCAAATTAAGTAGCCTACATTATTCAAGTTTACATTAACTTTGGATAATGACACGGGAGAAATGAGCGGAAGCGCTCTCTTTTCCTCTCTCCCCCTCTCTCTCTCTCCTGACAGCCTGTCAGTATCTCATGCAGCTCACTGATCCAGTCATGAGTGACAGTGAAGAATAAATATATTTATAACTAGTTCCAAAGGTAGATAAAATAGCTAAGTGTGTTAGGTCTAACTCTTGTGTGTTTTGCTCCGCTCACCGGTCCGTCACAGCGGGTGGAGCTGCAGGATTTCTGCTTCACACACGTTGCACTGCTATTTTATTGTCATTTTCGGACACCTTAAAATACTGCCAGACTGGTGAAGCGATTTTGGCGAGCTTGTTTTGCCGCACACAGAGAAAAGTGTCATGTATGTTACGTCTCGCGATCAGCCTTTTTAGAGAGCACCGATCGATCGGCAGAGAGTGAGTATCGGCCAATATCGATCGCCACGCAAAAACTGCGGCATTTTTACAGCTCCTTAATGCAATTTGTGAAGTGCTTTCCTCTGTGGTGAAACTATCAGCACTGCATTACGGAGGAAAGCGGCAGAAAGTCGCCTGGAGTTAAAGAGAGCGGGGCTGCGTTGCGTGCATGGCTTCCTTCTGCAGGTAACGGGGAGACGCGCTCTGGCGGCGGTCTCGTTCAGGATCCAAAAATGAAATAAATATTTTGTACACTTATTCCTAGTGTGCCACTGGTTACGGTGCCGCGTGCCATTGGTGGCACGCGTGCCAGGGGTTGCCGACCCCTGACCTAGGCTGAGCGGAGGGTCAAGGAGGCCCTGTTTTGGATAATACAGTTAAGTCTTGACAATTGGATAATTCATATCCTGAGAGGGTATTAATTACTCTTAAAGAGGTCATGAGATAGTGACCTTTCCACATCTGGAACATAACAACATATCAACTAATCTATGTTAGTGTGTTAGGAAAATTAGTGTGCGTTCATTAGAGCTGCTATATATGCTGGGTGGAAACTTGTACTCGTGGGGGCATTTACGCGATTGGTTGCTGTTGAAGCAAGGTGATATACTCTATTATTTGTTGTTGCGCAACTGAATAATAATGAATCTCAACCATATCTGTGTTTGTGTTTTATTGATCTCTCTCCCTGTGTTAACATTTAAAGTTGGTGAGCCATTAATTGCACTAACAGTAACCATCACAGAAAAAGACACATTAGTGAGTTGCTAGTGTTTAACCACAGACAATGGTGATACATGTATTTGGAGTCTGCTACAATGGCATGTTTAGGGAATAAATAGTAGAAGTAGTTTTCCTATTTTCCAGTGCATTTTATCCCATTTCTGCAAATGACAGTTTGTAATATATGTAAGATGGGGCATTTTACTTCTATACATTGTGTGTTTTTCGGAATGTTTGACCCCAGATAAGCCTCTTCCGTATCCAAATTCCAAACACTAACAATTTTGTCATGAGGGTTTTAAAGGTTCATCTTCATTCAATCAATCAATCAATGTTTATTTATATAGCCCAATATCACAAATGTTACATTTGTCTCATTGGACTTCACAGTTTGTACAGAATATGAATACGATCTTAGAGGTGTTCCCTAGAGCAAAGCGACACATGGTGGGACAGGTTAATCATTTATGTTGCCAGATATTACAGAAATGCTTTAAGATGGATGTCAACTAAATACCTAGTGAATCTTGACATTATTTATGTCTGTTTCTGTGTGTGTGTGTGTGTGTGTGTGTTTCTCTGTATGCATATATGAAGAATGAAGAGGTTACCAACCAATTCAGATTCCTCTGGACCCAGTAAGAAAAAGATCAAGTTATCCCAATCTGAAGTAAGAGACATTATTTTGAGATTATTAAATGTTTAAAAGAAAATGCATGATAACATTTGCAATTGATTACAGTGCATCATAATAATATCAACCTTCAGTTTCTGAGTTTCTTTCTTTTATGATTTAGGTGCAGACGCTGATCGAGCAGGAGGTTCAAACTGCACTGAAAAAGAAACAAAACAAGCTGCTGGGTTTAATAGGAACGATTCAAGAGCAGGATGAATCACTGGACTACAAAAGCTCCATCCAAAAACTGGAGGTTCGTGAAAGTAGTGATTCAGCGTGCTTTACTTTGTTTTTGTTATCTTAAAGGGGCCTTCTTATGGTCGTTTTCAGCTTCATATTTGTATTTTGTGCCTCTCTGTATTAACATGCCTTTCCCATACTGCCTGTGCTGCAGCACCGTTTCTCACCCTCTGTCTGAAATGAGAGCCCAGGCTACTCTGATTGGTTATCCGGCTAGCTCTGTTGTGATTGGTCAACTCCTTGGAGATGCCCCGCCCCTTATATTGCAGTGTTTCCCATACATTGCGGAACGCCACAAATAAATATCGTCCGCCACAAATGGATCTCATACAAAATAATAATCTTTTTTTTTCTTCTTACTGGTGCGGTGCCCCCACAAATATAATTAAATTCTGTGCGAAACACTGTATCGTATCACTTACAATGTGTTTGAGAGCTAGCCAATAGAAGGCTGTTACAAGCCCTTCTATTGGGGGCTTGTAACAAGCGCGAGTGTTACATAGAAATGTCACTATGTTATTGAAGTAAACCAGTCCATGGAGGCGTTTCAGGCAGGGTTGGCGGAGTGTGTGTAAAGTAAATCTTTTAAGCTTTCTTTCTTCTTCTTTCTAGCTTAACCCGTTGTTCTTCCTAATTTTTACCCATTAGATTGGATCCACTTTAATCGTACACACGCTACACTCAGCATCATAAAATCACCTTTGTGTGAATTTTATTTGTTGTTCTGCCACGTCTTTGAACCAAACTTGGATATATTCTGCATATGTCTCAAAGCCTAACTGGTTATAAAGTATATCTTAAACCAGAAAAATGTTTCTCTCTTCCTAAGGAGCGGATGAACACAGTAACCAGGAGAGCGGAAGCAGCCATCGCCTTCATGACAAAGACACATAAAGAGGTTTGATGCACACACACACAACTTCAAACCCTGCTTTTTTGCTCATGCAGTTCTATCTTTTTAAAGGTCCCATCATATGCTTTTTTTGGTTATTATTACCCGTCCCCTTGTGTGTTATGTAGCCTTTTCTGCATGTAAACGGTCTGCAAAGTCACAATGCCTCAAAGTACACCCTGTAGCGAGTACAACTCTAACACAGAAAAGACGTGTCTATGCTGCCCCAGAACGCATCGTTGGAGATTTTTCTTTTTCCATTTTTTACTTCCGGGGAAGGTTGACCAATCCGCGGAGCGCCGCACACACACACACACACACTCACTCACTTAGCCTTATCTTTTCTCAGCCGCTCCGTACACACACACACACACACACTCAGGTGTGTGTGTGTGTGTGCTCGGGCTGAGTTCCGCGGTGTCTCGCTGTCTCGCAGACCCCACGCAGCAACCAGGAAACGACACCATTAATCCAGCTCACACTGTCTGCTCCTCAAGCCTCAAAGGGCGGAGCAGTGAGCCCCGCAACGTCCCGCCAACACGGCACCCAGACCAGCATTCTCATCTGTTTGTCATTACTGGTGTCATTTTGCTGTAACGGTGGTTGACTAATCAGAACAGAGTGGGCTTATAGGGGGGGGGTTTGTATGGAATATGTTAGAATAGGTACCATTGATTATTATATCCAGTTTGAAATGTAAACAGTAAAGACTGCCTCACGAGATCCAAACAATTGATTGCCTTTCAGAACCCACAGCCATCTCTGGATAATGTCAAGATTAAAAGGTATGTGTATTACCCGGGTCCAGTGGTAAAAACTCTCGTGAACCTGTGTACTTTTGCTTGGTTTGTATTTTGAGACATTTTTGATGTTTTGTTCACCCCTGCAGGGAAGACTCTGCCAAAGATAAGAAAATCCCACCTGGTAAGATCTCAGCCAGCAATCCTGCTTTTATAAATATTTGCATTTGTGGATTGTTGAGTATTCGTTCAATGCAATTTGCATTTTCAGGTTTCAAAAGCGACATTGAGAGCATGGAAAAGAGAGTGGAGTTCTTAAATATGATGGTAAATATGCAGTTCATTTCTCGGAATAATTTGTTAAATACAAATGTTAAAATGCCTCCTTGTTTGTTAAGGAGAAGACTTGATTTTCACACAGTTAATTGTAGTTTGCTCATTCATTGAAAAGATGAGGGGTTTATGCTCAAAATCTGCTAATATCGCGGTTTACCTTTCTCTCTGTCCAGAAAAGCACCAAAACGGGATTAACAAAGATGCAAGAAGACAATGAATGTAAGAGCTTTTGATTTATTTATATATATCTATATGTATACATGCAGAGGTTCGAATAGCTCAATTTTAAACTAATGTAGCTTCTAATGATATTATTTTTCATGCATGGAGAAAAAACTGACGAGATAAGCTGCTATAATGACCCAAATTAAATAATATGGGTCACCGACTACATGAACTAATAACCACACCCTTTTTTTCTACTCTCTCTTGTCCCTTCTGTTACTTGTCACTGCAAATAATCCGTGTTAAGCTTTGAAGGCTGTCATAGCCAAACAGAAGCTGCCTCCTCCGGTTCCTACTCCTAACGGCTCTTCTGACTGCAAGGTAAGATGCTTCATTATTTGATTTATCCTTTCCATATGATTAGGCATAAATACTGTATGTTATCAGTAGCTAATAGCAATCTACACAAGCAAGGGAAAGATGAGATTTCCTTTCCTAAAAATAAATGTTTTGTTAATGTTTTGTGTCTTTAATTACTCTCATTAGGAGTCACTTATTAAGAAAGAGCCGGATGTGGAGGAGTCAAAGCAGTCTGTGGAGGAGTCAAAGCAGTCTGTGGAGGAGTCAAAGCAGTCTGTGGAGGACTCAAAGCAGTCTGTGGAGGAGTCAAAGCAGTCTGTGGAGGACTCAAAGCAGTCGGTGGAGGAGTCAAAGCAGTCGGTTGAACTAAAGGCTGTGATGGTGAAAGAAGAAAATCTTTCTAGTGACCATAGCAGACCCAATCCAACGAACACCGAGCAGGTATTACACACTCACACTAGCACAACAAAATAGCAACTCACTTGATTGTTCGCTACTCAAATTCACCATTTCTGCCTTTCTGCCTTTTCTGACAATGAAGGACGAACTCTATTCGTATCCTCCTCTGCCCTCAACAAACTTTCCCTCCATCCTAAGCATCGAGGTGGCTTCATACAACCTCCCCGGGAGACCGAAAGTGAATGTGGCTCTCATCAAGAACCCCGTCGGCCTCTCTGTGCTCTGGAGCGTGGAGGATAAAGACCCCTCAGCAGCACCGCCCATGGATAGTTACGGGTGAGAAACAGCACAGGATGAGGGATTATGGAGGAAGGTTTCATGCCTGCTACCTAATCCCGTGTTTCCACTACATGGTACAACACAACACATCTCTACTAACCCAATCCCTATTTATTTTTATTTTTTTCAAGTAGTAAAACGTGTGTAAACTACATGCAGATACTACTGCAGATCATCTCTACTGATTCATTGGGCATCCTGCAGGAATTCACCTTTTTTAAATAGCAAACGCCAGTTAATTTCCATTGCTTCTTTTTAAAATGTCATAAAACAATTGGTGAATTGCAGATGTTCATCTGTTTGAAAATAGGATTTTATTTGTTTATCGATCATCAAAAGAATTGTCGTTATTTTGTGTCAATCGGCCAATTGATAAATCAACTCGTTTCAGCTCTTGTGGCATTAACCTGTTAAGCCCGAGAGACCCCGGTACCGGGGCACTGCCGCAACATCTTGCAGGAAACAGTGTCTGAGGGCATGTTCATTTAATAAACTATGAATGTTTTATATCCATGTAACGGGAAGAAACTCATCTAACTGATCTTTTTTTTTTTTTTTCAAAGAAAAACCCACAATGCTAACACTGAGCCTCTGAATTAGCAACGAGCGAAAAATGCTAACAGATTACTGCACCGAAAATCACTCACAAAACCTTATTATTTATCTTTTCTCCACATCCATGACATCGATTCACATCGTGAGGTGACACAGAATCGATGGGTACCCTCATTATCACTCAATTATACGGATTTGCGACGTTATAAACAAAAACAGACATCAAAACAGGTGACGCTAGGTAGCTAAAATTGCTAACAAGGTTACCTTGGCTCTGTAGTCTCTCCAAAGTGGTCTTCAATGGCATTAAAACGATAAAAACTCTGCTGAAGTTAATCCAATGTGTCTGTGTCCCTTTGAAATGATTTCTGATAATCCATGATCAATAAAACGGATAATCCATGCTATTCCGTTTCTAGATGTCAGAGCTAGAATGTAGCTTCACTCTAATGCAAAATGACATGCGCAAAGCCCCCACCTTTTTCTTTCACAATGAGTGCGTGTGGGGGACTCCCCCTTCGATTCTATTGGCTCTAACGGTCAGAAAGAGGTGTCAACCATCAAAATCGACCAATGGGTTCCAGAGATATGAAAAAAAACATTTACACCCAAATCACCTCAGAGGTGGAGTGTTTTTGGCTAAACCTCTCTAAAAAGGTCAAATGTCACTTGTTTTACATCAATCTTGATACAGGGTACTTATTATATGTTGTACTTTGGATTCCTAAAGCTTTTATTCTACTTTACCATCATCCAAGGGTAGTTTTCACTAAGTACAAAAGAATTTTTGGACGGACACTATAATTTACTGTTTTTTACTATGTAAAATCTGAATTTTCTTTAAAATAAAAAACATCTATATTGATTCTGACTTTTCTACATCCAACTCACAGGTTTATCATTACTTTGAGAAAAAAGATGATTAATTTAACCCTTTTAGAAGGGAAGATATGGTAATTTGTTCTGGGAATGTCATTTTCGAACCTGAGACCTGAAAAACAGGCTCAGGGCTTAACAGGTTAAACAATTTAAAATGACCATATCTGGCAAGCAGAGTGCTTGATTCGGACAACACTTGACATAGCCGATTACCATCATAGCTCTACAATCACACACACCGTCTTTTCACACATCTGTCTTGAGTAATATACTGCTTATGTCGACATGTGACCACCAGATGGAAGCATATTTCAGCCAGTGACTACAGCTTTCCTTATAAAATGTCTCAGCTTACCCATTTTCATTTTGTCTCTCTGTCCCTGATGCAGCCTCTTCATGACTATGGAGAAGGTAAAGGGTAGCGGCGTCTTTCCAAGTTGGACAGCCCTTGGTGAGGTGGCAGCCGTCCCACTACCCATGTGTGTTATGATCAGTAAGTACAAGCCAGGCCACACGGTGTGTGTCGCTGTCATTGGCAAGGACAAGTTTGGCCGGTACGGACAATACAGTACAGTTGTGAACGCAACCATACCCGACCAGAAAGACCAATAACAGCTACTTCAAGGATTTTCCACATGAAGGACCTTATTTTATTTTTTTGCATTTTTCTTTTGGCATTTTCTTTTATTTTTTTATAAAACAATTTGTATCTTGTGGATTTAGTAACTTGACTAATATAGGTATTCTGATTCTGATCTCTATACATGTAATTAAATAAAGAGCATCAAAAGGATACAGATCATTTTTGTTGTTGTTGTGCCTTAAAGCAATCACTCATGTTTTTTAATTATTATTTAAGGAATATCAAATAGAATAGAATTGCACCCAATGTATATAGAGACTCCCCTACTGTCCTCCAGCAATGTTTGCATAACCAATGGAAGCAGTATTAATGTGTACACCTTTTCTGGCCATTTATGCAGGAATCGGTTAAGCCAAAAGTGGTTAAGCCTTATTTGGGATCAATTGATCAATATTTTTACAATGTAATAAGCTTTTATTGTTCATTGAGTTACTAAAGTTGTAAATGTTTTATTGTATGTTCTGAATGGTCACTTGTTGAATTAAAAAGTAGAAATCTTTAACACTTGTGTGTGTCTTCATATAACATATTAACTACTTTTGAATACTTGCCAGCAGGTCAAAGTAAAGCCATGTATTATATTAACATAAACGTTATTTAGCTGATGTGCCTTACAATAAGTGCAATAAACCATTACGACTCAGAACAGCAATAGAGTCCTTTGTCTGGAAGGAAAAGCAGTTCGGTCTTGTTTAGGTTGAGCTTTAAAGGGGACCTATCATGCAAAATGCACTTTTGTACGTCTTTTATACATGAATATGTGTCCCCGGTGTTCCAGGGAACTCACCAAGTGTCAGAAAACACAACCCTCTCTATTTTCCTCCATACCCAAATCTCTAAAAAAGGGGCTGCAACGGATCTGATAAAAACTGATCCAGATTTGAACACTTTACTGACGTCAGGAAAGTGGTGCTACGGCTATTGGGCCAACTCCACCAATCAGGAGGAGACAGCCGCGGCCATTGCCATTCGAATGTGCTGGAGACGCTGCCAGACCTGTAAGTGGCGCTGTAGTCTGCCACAAAAGCAGCGAAGAAGACTTGGTTACCATGGTTACCCTTCTGTTTATTCTCCGCTGTGGCTTTCTTTCTCCCTCCCCGAGGCAAGGGTTTGCTCCCGCTGCAATGCAATCCCTCCCCGTCGAGGCAAGCACTGTAATTATCTCCGGTTAGTCCACCAGCAGATGACAAACACCCACCTCTCCGCCTCTTCCAAGGAACGAGGGGACCGTGCGGCAGAGTTTCAGTTTCAGTTACTTTCGCCGGTCAAGATGTCCGTTAAAGTTTAAATCTTCCGGACAAAATTAGAAAAGTGCCGGTCAAAGGTCTTCTTTGTTATTTATTGAGCTTTAAAACAAATGAATAACGACTCTATATAATAAAACACGGAGGACGGAGATCTCTTTTTCTCCCCCTCTTCTGACAGCCCAGCAGCTGATCAGAGCACGTCTCCCCTCTCCTGCAGGGGGGCGTGGTCAGCAGAATCAGACCCGTAGACAGCAAACAACACATAGAGCGAAATGAGGCATGGCTAAAATGCATGATCTGTTTGGTATTTCGAAAACAGAGACGTATAAATATACCTTATATAGGTATGGCCCTACAATATATCATTTAAATATAGCATGATAGGTGTCCTTTAAGTGGCGTGTAGTCGTCGGCTGACAGATATCAGCCAGACAAGCAGAGATGCATGTGTCCAATTGGGTTTCAGACAGGGGAAATAACAATTGGTTGATTGTCCTCTGGGTAGCTATGATAGAAGAGACCGTCAGAGCAAATGGCAGAGGCAAGGGCATTTTTGTACAGATAATAAGGAGGGGGACCACTGATTAATTGTCGGACAAACCCTCTCGTTAACCCGTAGGACCAGTGTTTAATGTAGGCTGAACACAAGCAACACAAAGATATTGGGGCAGATGCCAATTACGTTACTTTACATTTAGCTGATGTTTTTATCCATAGCAACCTTACTCATAGCGCAATAAAACATAAAGATATAAACTTGGAACAACAAGAAAAATGCAGATATACTCGCTTAAGATAAGCCAAACCAATGCAAGTGGTGGTGCATTAAGTTCAAATGGGCTAAACTCTTAAAGTCCTGCAATGCTTGTGTGTGTCTGTGTGTGTTGGGTTTTAATCGCCAAGATACAAGCAAAACAAGTGGGTTTTCAGTTTGCAACAGAGTTATGTAGACAACCTGCTGCCAACAATTCCACCATTTTGGGGCCAGGATAACAGGTGTTATTTTGATGAAGGGTTCTAACTCGCAGTGAGAAGGTCGCAAGTCGATCTGCTGATGCAAGCCTAAGTGTTTATGTAACCTGTAACCCTTATTTAAGCAACCATGGAACTGCCTTTTATTGTGCACAGTACCATTGATCAACCCACAAGCGGCCGATAGAGGGTGGTGTTAGCTCTCTGTAAGGTCTGGCTTTGTACTAGTTAAATACAAATACAAAGCTGTTTCTGTATCTTGCCAGTTTGAGTCCATAAATCAGTCCATGTGAAACCATCAAAGAGCATTCCGCAGACAAGACACTACTCGCCTGTTTTTGAATAACCAACATACCTGCCTCAATTAACTCTTTCCTATCCAGCTTTGATCATACTCATGACAAAGAGGCAGTTTTTTTTAATTACAAGCAACATCATCAGGACCACAAATTGAGAAATTGTTCATCAAAAATGTAATATGAGATTAAACAGCATAACCTGCAGGAACATTTAGGTAAAAGCAACAGAAAATTCACTTTAATAATATAAGCAATCAGAATTGAGTATCCAGTAAAGGTGTGTATTAATAGAGTGGTACAGAAATGAGAAAATCCCCAAATTAGTTTGGCCACTTGCCCACTTCACTGGAAGTCTTTTCTAAGCGTACTTTTGGTAAGATGCCTGAAATAAAGTCTGTGTTTAACACAAGCTTAAGGGATTTCTACCAGTGGCGGCCGGCCCATAGGGGCGCTAGGGGCGCCGCTCCACCTCTTCCCACATTCTAGATTGTCATTAAAACCTGTTAAGCCCTGAGCCTGTTTTTTATGTCTCAGGCTCGAAATTGACATGCCCAGAACAAATGACTATATCTTAAAGGGGACCTATCATGCAAAATGCACTTTTGTACGTCTTTTATACATGAATATGTGTCCCCGGTGTTCCAGGGAACTCACCAAGTGTCAGAAAACACAACCCTCTCTATTTTCCTCCATACCCAAATCTCTAAAAAAGGGGCTGCAACGGATCTGATAAAAACTGATACAGATTTGAACACTGTCCTGACGTCAGGACGGTGGCGCTACGGCTATTGGGCCAACTCTCCACCTATCAGGGGAATGTGGGGTTGGGCCACGGCCGGCCATTGCCGCTCGAAAGCGCTGGGAGACGCTGTAGTACAGGGGTACTAGTGATGTGTCGGTCGCGAACGAGCCGATTCTTTTGAACGGCTCTTTGGTACGAACGAGGGGAACCGAGTCCTACTTGGTGAGAGCCGTTCTTGTTATCGTTCAATCGTTGGTCCGCACTCACTGCCTGCCAACATGCACTCGCCTTTTAAAAATCTTGATTTTGTTCCCCAAACGTATTCTGTGAAGATCCGCCCCCTACTCTGATTGGTAGGTTTCAGCACGAGGAGTGAGATGGGGTGGGTCTTAAGGGAATACGCGAGAGAGAGAAGTCATACCAAGTGGTACAGGACAGGTAGACGACGTGTTTTTCGGATGGAAAATGAGCCAAACGCGAAAGCGGAGCAGCATTTGGATTCACTTCAACCAAAACCCAGGCAGTGATAAAGCGCACCATTTGTAAAGGCAAAATATCCTTTAAAGCAGGGTCAACAAATAATCTCCTTCGCCACTTAAAAACACAGTATCTAATATTAAGAGTTGCGTGAATTTCATTCAAGGCAAGGCAACTTTATTTACTTATCACATACAGAGGGTAAATTCAAAGTAGTATATTCACTGACATGATGACATGGATATGGCGCCACCTTGTGTCATGTTTACAATGCAGATTATTGACATTAGGTCTGGCAATACAGTCAATCATTATCCTGGTGATTATTTCGCAGATAAACCTAGAAACCCCGCCCCCTTTAAAACAACGGCTCTTTTGAACGGCTCTTTGAAAGGAACGGAGCCATAAGATCCGGCTCCCTTCAAAGAGCCATAATTCCCATCACTAAGGGGTACTCAAACTTTTTTATTAAAGGTCCAGTTGTGAACTTTATACAAGGTCACTGGTCCGGATCAATGCCAGTAAAGTCCCCCCCCCCCCCCGAGCGGAGAAACAAAACTGAAATTAAGAAGCAGTTTCTTGGCGCTCTATGCATGGGGGGTTTTCCCGACGTGTCGTTGCAGTAAATTAAAGGGTGTTTCATGTTGTCGTTGCTGTGGACCTTCTTAATCTACCTTCTTTGGGGGCCCCCTTCTGCTCCAAGCACTTGCCTGCCTTGCCTGCCTTGCCTGCCTTGCCTGTCGGTAAACGGCGCCCCTGTATACACACACACATTCAATACATACATACAGTATGGTGGCTTGAACTAGTGGGAGAAATGGCACTGTTTGTCTGTAGTCAATGCAATTGAAACCTCGGCAAAAAAGGCATTAGAAGCATTAGAAAGTCAAGGTAAACTTGCGGTTAACTTGCGGTCTGCTATGCGTGTCACGCTCGCGCACACAAGTAAATATATATGCACGTTCATTCTCACAACGCGTCAGACACAAGGCGCGCGTACATGATGATGTACATTAATTTATCAGAATCAGATTTTTTTATTTATTTTTTATTTTTAATAATTTATTTATTTTTTTTATAATGGGACACAGGGTTCGGTCCGGATTGATTTGCAGTTCGGTCCGGATCCGGACCTTGGTCCGGAGTTTGAGAAGCCCTGCTGTAGTACATATGCCAGGCCTGTAAGTGGCGCTGTAGTCTGCCACAAAAGCAGCGAAGAAGACTTCCCGCGCATGGTTACCATGGTTACCCTTCTGTTTATTCTCCGCTGTGGCTTTCTTTCTCCCTCCCCGAGGCAAGCGTTTGCTCCTCCTGTCTGCTTTAATTCAATGCAATCCCTCCCCGTCGAGGCAAGCACTGTAATTCTCTCCGGTTAGTCCACCAGCAGATGACAAACACCCACCTCTCCGCCTCTTCCAAGGAACGAGGGGACCGTGCGGCAGAGTTTCAGTTTCAGTTTCTTTCGCCGGTCAAGATGTCCGTTAAAGTTTAAATCTTCCGGATAAAATCAGAAAAGTGCCGGTCAAAGGTCTTCTTTGTTATTTATTGAGCTTTAAAACAAATGAATAACGACTATATAATAATAGGCTATAATAAAACACGGAAGACGGAGATCTATTTTTCTTCCCCTCTTCTGACAGCCCAGCAGCTGTTCAGAGCGCGCTCCCCTCTCCTGCAGGGGGGCGTGGTCAGCTGCAGCTCACAGAATCAGCCCCCTGCAAAAACAGTGCTGGAGAACAGCAAATAGAGCGAAATGAGGCATGGC